CGAGAGTATCGATAAGGGTAATTGGAGATATCGATACCGAGAGGGAGAAAGATTGAAGAAATTAGAAAATAGATTTGCGAAATATATCACGGAACTATAGTGGATGAAACGAATACATCTGAAACAAGATGAATAAGGAAGAATAAGATGTGCATCCTTATCATTCGGATTACTATTCAGATACTACGAGTTCGAAATTTCAACGGGGATTTCATCGGAAGTGCTGCGATTCTTTACGTGTACATCGCGAATGGGGCCAACAACATCCCACCGAAGCTCGAGATACAGACTGCTTTTACCGATCGTATCGACTATTTCCACGCATACGGTTGTTACGCAACCAGAAAACAGATTACCCTTTGTACCCACGTAGCCGCTATTTATTCAAACTCTTCGAAACGTTTGATCATTGGTATTTTTGCACCATCGTTACAATTATTACCTTGGCACCACGAATATCATGCGTACTTATAGCCTGGCCGCGGATATTTTCGCAACGCACATGACAAAATATCCAAAGTGTCAAGTCTTCGTCTCGTTGAAATTCACAGGAATATAAATTTATACAAGCACGACGATCGATTCGAATCTTTCTCGTTGTAACGATTCAGTCATCTTCAAATTATTCTCGAGCTGAAAAATTGACGAATCTGGAGAACCTAGCAGGTGTTTCCCCCCGACGAATATTATTTATAAATTTATTTATTTATTTACGTGCCTACGGTATGAAAAATATTATTTTTCCCAGCTACGCTGAGAAAAGAAAGTGAGGGACGAGGATGTCGGAGGAGAGACAGTGAATAGAGCTCGACGGGAACTGACGGCTGCGGCTAACGGGACAATTAACCCCGGTCTCGTACAGTAATTAGATGATCGAGTTAACTCTAAACCTCGGGTTAACGTCGCACCGAGATTCGAGTCCCATGCAGAGACCGATCGGAATTACCGCGAAATCTTCATCTAATCTAAACACCCCTTGTTCGAAATTCCGAGCATCGCGATCTTTGACAGTTAAATCCCTTTCGACGATGACAAAAGTGGAAATTGGATAAATAGCACAGAGGAGCCGATAGAGATTTCTAGAGACGGATATAATCGCGTAAAATCGATATCGACACGACGGTATGATTTAAAGAGAAGAACGAGAAATCGAGCAAATTTCCAAAAATGTACGTCGATGTTTCGATCGAAGAAGCTAATACGAAAGAAGCAGATACAAAGTAATGTACATGAATGAACATAGATATATATTTAAATCTACTTGAATTACAGTCATCACTTTTGAATTCTTTCGGAAAAACAGGAGTTCGAATTTCACATTCTGCAATTTTTCAGAAAAACTTGAAACTCGAGGGCTCAAAAGAATGTGTTCTCCTGGCAGTGGAGGAAAGAATTCTTTCAAGAAGAACAGTACAAAGAGTTGCCCGTAGCAGCGGCAGTATTTATAGAGCAGAATTCCCGACAAATACAGAAATTCTCGAATCGATCTCTGGCCCCTTAGTGCTCGCGATACTTTCTTTTACGTTCGAATTAGAAGGTTCAACGACACAATAGCGCGAAAAAGAAAAAACAAATCGGACGAAAATCGAATGAAATAGAAGGGGAAAGTTCGAGTTGGCTCCCTCTCGTTACGGCGGAAACTCGAGCTTCGAATTCCTCGTTCGTCCTCTTCGACCGCCGATCATCGTGTGCACGTCGCGCCTCTAACTGCGAAATCACCGGTGAAACAGGAACGAGGGAGAATTGCAACACCCGGAAACGAGTGCCGCCGATGGATATTCTAATCGCACGGCGATCCTCCAGTCAAGGGAAAATCGAATGGTCGCGGAAACTGGCAGCTATGCTAATAGAAATACTCGATTGGACAAGGTTACCAGGTACTGTGAGAACTCCGATATTTCGAATTGAATTCGACTATTTCGATTGTTCGTTCGTTCGACTTTTTTCTTGCAGGTGTTTGGCAATATTCGAAGCTAAAGCACAGGAAAAGTGCGAGTGTTTCCATTCTTGAAGAAGAGAATTCTTTTAACGAGTTTAATTAATAAGTGTCGAGAAGTGAACAGATAGGAAAAGTCTCGTAGGATCGCGATGATCTCCGATTGAAATGGATGAATAACGAACAATAAGGATTCAGGATTCAAGGAGAAGACTCGACTGCGGATGAATCGCAAACTCGATCGCAGAATTTCGATGATTCATATGAGAAAGGATTCAAGGGAGAAGGAGAGAGAGAGAGA